ACTTTAACTTGCTTTTCCCTTCTGCTTTCTGCATTCTGCCCTCCATGAATAATATAAAAGAGAGTGGGCCAGGGAAGATGGGCCCAGCAGTGTAGAGAACAGGTCATTTGAACATCCCCCCTGCAGTCCAGGCTAGCCTGATAAACAATGAAGACTTCACATAATTCGAATTGGACATTGTAGTGGTCTTCTTTTACTCGAACCCGCACCACCCCCTTACTGCTATTTTACAGACAAAGCTCAGACTTCGGTTAGAGGATGGCCTGCCTTAAAATCACCAAAAGTACTCCTAAGTAGTGGCACCTGGAGGGAACCCAGGCAGGCCGGCTCTCCTGTTCCTTGCCCCAGCACCAGACTACCTCTCAACATGCATTTTTCCCACGTAAGGTAAACATTACCCCACCTCTAAGCATCCCCTACGTTATACATGATACTGAGATCCTGTCAGATGATCTTAGGGTAACCATTTACTCCTCCACAGTTGTATGTTCATCCACGTCGTTCTGAAACTCAGTGCGAGAAGGCATTCATCAGCTCTCTTCTGAAAGGCCCCAAGCTAGGCAGGGGCAGGGGGTGGGGAGGGTGTTCCAGGGATGCCGGAAGCCCAGTGAGCTTGTCTTGAGAAACAGTGAAGTGAAGGTGTCAATGTAAGGGTGGGAATTCTGTCTGGCTCTCTGGCTTCTGCAGAATTCCTTCACAGAGGGAGCCCCTGTGGCTTCCCCAAAAGGGCTCCTCATTCTGGGCCTTGGGGCCCTGGGACACAAGTGCAAAGAAAGTGGCCTTCCACAGGGCAGCTCTTCAAAATGTTCACCTTGGTCATCTCTTTTCCAGGCTAAACTGGCCCCCCTCTTCACCGCAGACTAGGTGACCCCCCCCCCACCCCCACCACCACCACTGCCGAGAACTCTCTCAGTTAGCTAGCCCCGCTCCTTCGCATCCATATGATTATGTAGTGAAGCGAGTCGCCCTCACTGAGTCACAAGCTCTGTGAGGAGGGCAGGGCTGGGTCGGGTCCCTCACCATCCCCTTAGCTAGCGCCCTGGCCACAGAGCCTAGAGCCTTGCTAATGTCTATGGAATCGACCCAGGCAAAGCCAAGGCTGCTGATCCAGCCAGCCCTTCCCTGTGCTGTATCAAAAGACATGGGGTACTTGAGTCTCCGCTCCTTCTGCTTCAGCTTCTCAATGGCCTCCACGTGCTCCTTGGGCACCGATTCGATGAGATCGCTCAGCTCCACCAGGCGCGACTCCACCTTGACCAGCTTCTGGATGGGGTTGAGACTGCCGACCTCAGCGTCGCCGATGCAGACTCGGTACACTTGGTTGATTTTTTTATTGAGCGAGTCGATGAGCTTTTCCTGAGATTGGGAAGAAAAGAGAGCAGAGTCTTTGTGTCAGAGCCCTCACGCCACACCCCTGCTCACTCGCACGGTAAGGAAAAGACAGTCATATGCTACTAACCATTTCCCTTTTCTGAAAAGCAGTCTTCTCAGTACAATATTATCAATCAGTAGCAGTGATATTTACTCTGTAACAGTTTATACTCAGATCATTGCCATGCCTTCTTTTTATAGAGAGAGATTTCGGCCTAGATATGCCACCACCACAGAGCTGATTCCCACTCAGAGTGACCCAGCAGGACAGCAAAGAACTGGCCCTTTGGGTTTTGGAGACTTTAAATCATTGCAGGAGCAGGTAGCCTCTTTCTTCCACAGAAGCAGCTGGTGGGTTCGAACTGCCAACTGAGTGGATAAGCAGCACAAGGCGTAACCCACCGCCTCACCACAGGGCCTTCAAGCTAGCTATAAAACATCATCATCATGATGCGGCGGAATACAGCCTTTTGGTTAAATGTTTGTGTGTCCTATCCCTGGGGCATTCCAGTAGTCACAGCTCACATGCCTTAGATCCTTGTCTACACTCCCGGACAGAGCAGTGCCCCAGACCCTGCACTGCCGTCGCTCGAAGTATGATCCGTTTGTAGGAGAGTGACTTCTAGGCTCTGTCTCTACCCAGAAGGGTGGAGTTACCTCCTAAGTGTGATCTTTCAAATGGCCTTGCATATAACTCTGCACTTGCCTATAAGTGGACACATGGCTGGGTGCATTCTCCCAGTGGGAGGGAGCATCAGAAATTCCCAGCAGACAAATTTCCAGGTTGCCTACAATAAAAGCCCCCCCCACACCTGCCCCCCATCTGCTTTCACTCCCGGTACTGGGAGGCCATTGCAGGATTTCTGAATCACCCACTCAGATAAAGAAAAGACCAGCTTAGACAAACATGGCTGATCCCTGCGCTCAGCCACTAGGCTGTTTGGGCCCTCAGTGCCTTGGAGGAGTGACTGTGTAGTCGGGGTCCATCAGAAGCACAATACATCTTCTCTCGCCGCCCCCAGGGCCCAGCCCTCCCGGGCAGGGAGCTCCACAAACTGCTGGCCTGAGGAACCCCGACTTCCTGGACCCCTCCTGCGTCTGCCCACGAAGATGGGAGCCACCAGAAAGTGAGCAACTGACCAATAGCATGCTCCAGCTCCCAACAGCTTTGGCTCCGGCTTCAGCTCGTGGAGGAAACCCCTCCGGTCACCACAAATCAGGGCAGAGCCACCAACACGCACAAGCCTCGCTCTGCTCCACCAAGGGCTTGCTTCCAACCGCTTCTCTCTCCCAGCCCTTCGCCAGCAGGCTCACCGAGGCCTTTTCTCCCCGATGCAGGAGCATCGAAGGTGCTTCCTGTTTATGTTAAAACCACATTTCTTTTAGAAGACTTGGAGGAGGAAAGAAGGGAAGATGGCGTTTACACAGAGCCCTCTTGCCCCCTTTCCAAACGACCACTTGCTGTATTTCCTATCTACGTGAACAACACACTCCTTATAGAAACTCTGGAATACGGAAGGGGGTAAAAAAGTTACCCTCCAAAGGGCTGAAATCCTGTACGTTGGAAAAGAAAGGGCAATATTGTGACAACATCAAGTAGACCAGAGTATTTCCCCCAAATCTAATGTTTGGGGGTTTGGTGAAGCACAGCAGCTTTGATGGGAGAATTGGATGCCAATTTATGAAGGGAATCTGACGGATAGCACTCGCCTTTCGGGATCTTAAAAAGATTGTTTAATTCCCCTTTGTCAAGCTGAAGAAAAAAGCTCTTTGCTGAAAAAAACCAAAAACAAAGTTTGAACAAGGTAAGCAAAAGAAAAAAACAAACAACGACGACGACGAAACTCATGTTAAGTCAGAGCACCTCCGGAGGACAGGTAGCACGGCCCCCGGGGGTTCCAGGACCATCACTCCTTAGCAGAGCAGAAAGCCCTGTCTTTCCCGAGGAAACGCTTGGACTTCCAAACTGCTGGCTTGTGGTGAGCAGCTCAACTCGTCACCACGGTGCCACGGGGTGCCCCCAGGGCTCCTAAGGCATAGGAGGGGGGATAAGGTTAGAGAGGACGAGATAATCGTGTAGGACACGGAGATGGAGGCCTGGCTCAACAGCACCATGAGGATGAGGGCTTGGACAAGTGTCAGCAGTTCCTGGGACCGCCACCAGGCGGCAGACTCAGCCCTTGGCACCTCGGTGGCGGAGACACTTGGGAATACAGTGGGGTGGGGGTGGGGGGGTGGTAATGGCAGACTGACTATCAGGATGGGAAGGCTGGATGCCTTCTAACAGTGGAATAGGGGGCAAGGGGGCACAGGGGAGATGTGACCAGAACAACGTTTGAAAAGGAATCATCGCATCCAAAATGATGGGAGCAGAGGGGCCCTAAACAACCATCCAGTCGGTGCTGACTCATAGTGAGCCTACAGGACAGGGTGGAACTGCCCTGGTGGGATCCTGAGACTGGAGTAGAAAGCCCCATCTTTCTCCCAGGGAGCAGTTGGTGGTATTGAACCACTGGCTTTGCCGGTCACAGCCCCATGCACAACCACTACATCACCAGGGATGGTAAAGGTACCATTAGAAGGTGAGATACCTAGATGTCACTTAGGGTTCCTCTGGACGGATTGTTTTGTGTGCTGATTTAAACAACCCTCCGGGTTGAACTTGATCAGTTTCCTTTGAGGAAGAACAAATCCAGTGATGAAGAAACCCAAAACCTGAGCTCACTACCATGAGTTGATGCCTCCTCACCGTGACCCTACAGGACAGGGTAGAACTGCCCTGCGTGTTTCTGAGACACCTGATCTTGTTTGAGGGAGCAGAAAGTCTTATTTTTCTCCCGTGGAGTGGGTGGCTTTGAACTGTGGGGCTTATGGTGACCCGAGTGCGCCACACCAGCTCCTTCAAAAACCACTCCCTGCCATAGAAATGAATACGTTCTGCAAATGGAATTTCACACGGAAATCAAAACGAGCAAAACCCTGCCCAAAACAACAGGATGACTCCAACACACGCAATTTTGAGAGAAGTAAGCCAAACACATGGTGCACGTCCATTTACCTATATTTCAAAACCAGGTGCCAATAAAACTATTTAAACGAAACAGGGAAACCACTGGATAATGACTGAATAATGGGAACTGGGCTAGTGGCCGTCTGTGAGGCACAGCGAGGCTGGAAGGAGGCTTCTGGGGTCCCGCTGAGGTTCTAGTGTCTGGTGTGTGTTCACGTTGAGAAAATTCCTTTAGAGACATTTATGATGTGCGTCCTTTTCAATTGTACAAGAACACGTTACACTGGAATTGAAATTATATTTATAAAATCTAAATGTAAAATATCGAATCCAGGAAAGATGTTTGTAGGAGGGGAAAAAAAGCCTTCCCTAGGATCCCTGGTGGTGATGAGTCGGCTGCTAACTGCAAGGTGAACAGTTGGAAACCATCAGTCACTCCGCAGGAGACAGACAGAGGGGGCTCTCTTCTCTCATGGCGAGTGACCGTTTTGGGAACTCAGAGGGGCAGTTCCACCCTGTCTGATAGTGTCACTATGAGTCCGTGTTGACTCAAGGCCCTGCAGTTTTTGAGAAGCGCTGCAGTTCTGTTTTGATCCACAGGAGGTCACCCTAAATCAAGAGTCAACTTGAGGGCAATTAGAAAAATGTCAACTTGCTCTTAAACCATTGTCTTTCACCTCTGGAAATCTGAGAGAACGGAGGTGAGGCGGTGGGCAAATTCTAAGAGGAGGATACTTTTTCCCTTCCCAGTTTTCTTGTTCCATCTCCTCTTTCTAATCCAGCATTCCACATCTCTAGGATCCAGGAAGCATTACGAATCCCACTGTGCCCGCCGCCCCCAGTGTGCACAGCATATAACCAACATTTCATGGATTGTCTTTTAAAGTGACTTTCAGATCAATTCGACCTTTAGTGCTTCGAGCAGCGGTTCTCAACTTGTGGGTCTCAACCCCTTTGGGGGTCGAACGACCCTCCTTTCACAGGGGTTGCCTACTACATCCTGCATATCAGATATTTACATTAAGATTCATAACAGTAGCAAAATTATAGTCATGAAGTAGCAATGAAAATCACTTTTTGGTTGGGGGTCACCACACATGAGGAACTTAGGGGTCACGACATTAGGAAGGTTGAGAACCACTGGCTTAGGGAGCCGGTTGCCTCAAGGTTGAAGAGTCCGCGCTCTTTCTTAATAGTACCTGGAAAGGGACACCCTGCTTGGTAAAGCAGAGGGACAGCCAAACAGGTACACCCTTGACAAGGTGGACGGACACAGTGGCTGCAACAGTGGGTTTGACATAACAATTGTGAGGACGGCGTCTCGTATGTCTCTCCTGACGTGTCCAGACGTGACATTTGGCCACATTCACCCTCATGCAAGAGTCTGAAGATGTTCCTTTTGATCATGTTAGTTTAACTATGGTGCAAGCCATGGTCAAGAAGTCATGGATCAAGTTTGGTCGTATCCTGGTGTCAGTCAGCTCACAGCCTGATGGTGCCTCCTTGTGGGCGTGACCTTCTCATAGGGAGGGTCCTGGGAACCTCCCCCGCTCTTTCTGCCTTCACCACCTGTTGACGAGCCACGCTGAAACCCGTGAGAGCCCTGTGAGGGGGCTACCGTCATTGGAAACACAACTTCGCACCCCCTGGCCTGTGATCTTCCTGCACTCTGCCCCATTGCACGTGGCTGTGTGAGTCTGAAGAGGACTTATGGACTAGTGTTGGACTTATGGACTTGAGTGGGACTGGGCTGGGATGTTTATTGATGCAGGAACACTTCTTGATATACCTCCTTCTTTTCTTTTTGAAAAAAATCATTCTATTGGGGCCGCGTACAACTCATCACAATCCATGCATCCGTGCATGGTGTCAAGCACTTATGAGTGTCACTGAATTTGTTTCTCTATTCGACCTTCCCAACACAGATATCGTATCAGGAAAGAGCAGTAAGTGGAAAGGGACACCACGCTCGGCAGAGAACAAGAGGAAGAATCTCAACGGGAGGGGCTGGCACCGAAGCTGCGGCGCTGGGCTCAAACATGACCACCCCGGGGAGGCTGGCACAGGACTGGGCAGTTCTGGTGCTACTGTCCCTGTGGCTGCCGTGAGTCAGAACCCACTTCATGGCACTCACAACAACAACGACTTGACCACTCAGAGCAGGACAGGCTGTCAATTGCATCACGGGTACACACTGACCGGAAGAAGGGTGTTGATAGGGGAAAGATGAACACCACACCTTGTAAAACTTAGGGGTGCGTGTTTGCCCTGTTATGTACCGACAAGTCAATTCCATACTGTTTTTTCTGCCTCTGCCAACAATGGGGGGCGTACAATTGGCTACAGGCCGTTCGGGTGCTTAGTACACAGCTGACTTATCATTAGCCTATGTCAGAATACCACAGGCAGAGATGTGAGTACCTGAACTTCTGAGTTAAATTCTCCAAAACTAAATAGCCTGGACCTTAATTCCAGTTCTGCTGCTTTTTCCTCTTCTCTCACACAGTTGGCCTTCAGCATGTTCTTGTGCTCCAAAATAAAGTCGATGCTTGTGTTTCTATTGCAAAGAGAGAAAGAGACCCCTGGCTATGATCGGTGGTGAAATTAATGGAATAACCATCACTCAGGAGCTTCAGCTCTTTCCAGAGTGTGTTGTCGAGAGGCTATGGCTAGCAAACTGCCCACAGGCCCCTCTTTTAACACGCTATCAAATACATGCCACCCTTCAAGTGAAAAGCAGAATCATTGCCCACTTGTTGCCTTTACGTCCATCCAGAACTTCTTTCTTTCCCTCTCCTACTTTTGTAGCTCCCTTTGTAAACCCCCCACCCTGCCCGCCCCATGTAGAGAAGGGCAGGCAGAGCTGAGGTGTTAGGAGCTCAAGGCTGCCTGGAGAGCTAAGAGAGAAAAAAATAAAAAGACATTCCGGATGGTGCAGTCAAGTGCGTGGCAGCTCAGGGCAAGGTTGCAGGGTTAAGTCCACCGAGAAGTGCCTCGTTAGAAAGGTCTGGTGATCCAGTGCCCAGACATCACAGATGTCGCCACCATGGAGTGAAGCTGACTCCTCGGGAACTGGTTTCTCCTCCGAGCAGGGGTAAAGGGACTCCTGATGCCATCCCTACAGATTCTGGCAGATACCTTACAAACTCTTCCCCACCTCCACAAACCACATGGTCCAGGATGGGGAGAAGGGGCAGGTTATAAATGGCATCAGAGAATGATTTTTAGGTTCTCACCTCGGAACAAGTGAATCTGTTCTCAAGTTCAATTGCCATTTGACCCACTGTTTCAAAAGATTGACAGTCTTTGGCCCCCATAGACCTTTTGGAACAAGAGTCTAAACATTTTTAAACAGGTGTTAGAATTATAATAATAGGAAATTTTAGAGAAGAAAGGAATTTCATCAAACCCAGCCTCCTTCCCCTAACAAAAATCCATGATATAGTATTTACATTATAAAATAACCTAATATTTCATCACAAAAAAATAACTACTTCACTTGAGGTCACAGACGGGGAAGACACAAAAGAATGTCATCAAATCCAGACTCCTTCCTCTAACAGAAATCCCTGCCCTAATATTTACAGTGTAAAATAATAGACTATTTCATCACAAAAAAATAGCTATTTGCTTCAGGTGACAGCCAGGAAGACACGCTCATCAGCATGATCGTCCAAAACAGGATTGGATTAAGGAAATGACAGCTAGCCAATTAATTCATAGGGTGAAGACTACACTGAACAAAATGAAAGATAGTAGGCGCCATTCCAATTCTTGTCATCTTAAATGAACATGAACTTAATGGATTATAAACGTTTTAGATGATCTTTTATTGTTGCTAGCCAAGAAAATACTTTGAGAAAGGAATGCAAGCGAGGAATGAAAATCAATCTGAGAAAGGGCAACCTCTACCTTTTACAGCAATTACTCTCACTAATACGTAGCCCCATGGAAGTTCCAGAGCAACCAACAGGAATAGCCACATGCAAATGAGTAGAAACCTGTCTCCAGGTAGACATCACCTGTCAACATAAAGCTTCTTTTCAATGGCTTACATTTTATCCTGTATGACTCTTTCTCTCTTATTTACATCTTCCAGATTTTCGTCCACGTCTTGGGAATATTGCACCAAAGTCAGATTCTGCTCTTCCAGCTCTGTGAGAACCTGAAGCAAATCTTCCGGTTCTTTGAAGTAAAGCTCGGGCACCTACTCAATCAGCAATGAAGAACAGAATGCACTTGAAAATACGGTACCTCCGTACTCGTGACTTCTCTAGAAAATACAATGGTGGATAGGAGCCTGGCTCTGATAAGGAGGCACACCTGTTTTCATATCTCCCCCAACATCCGTCCCCATGCTGGGGGAGATATTCGAGAGGGGAAATCCAGTGTTGTCCAGTCATAGTGATCCCATGGGACAGGGTAGAACTGCCCCAGAGGCTTCCAAGGCTGGACATCTTACAGGAACAGACTGCCACATCATCCTCCCTCTCCATCACGGAACTGCCCAGCTTTGGGTCAGCAGCTCTGTGCTTTAATCATGGCGACACCAAGGCTCCCTCGGGAGGAGAAGAGAAAAAGAGGGAAAAGATGGAGAAATGGGGTAGGCGAGGAGGTCAGGAGTCGGAAGAAGGGAGAAACAGGTAGAAGGAAAGGCATGGGAGAAGGAATGCAAGAAAAAGCTAAGAGACCAAATGGACTTCATCTCTCTGCCCACACCACTTAGTCATTTTATAGCTTCCTGATGTTTAAAGATATGTATTACTTTTAAGAAACTTAGTTTTAAAACTGGCTTAAGGAAAGGTGTGTAATCTATCGCAACAGTGGTTCCTCATGGTTTTTGCTCTGCGTTTCTGCGGTCTCACTTAGAGTGGGGTTTGCACAAGGCAACCTCTCAGCAAGAAAGGGCTGTTTTATTGAAGGCCCGTTTTGCTTGTTGTCCCCCATGCATCTCAAAAGATGATGAGCATTCAAAGAGTGCATCTACAGCAATATTGCTGATAATCTGTATCTCCTGAATGACTCGTATTACTGTCTTCCAGGCGTGCATTTTTCATAAACTGTCTCAGGACAACGGTGAGCAGTATGTGTCATGGGTCAACAGCATGCAAATCACGTTTCCTCCTCAAAATGCAGTGGGGAATTTGGAACAGAGCATTCTAATCTCAAAAGAAGAAATGCCATCCCCACTTTTCACCCACCATAGTATTTAAATAAAGGAATATAAACTGGTTACCAGATCATAGTCCATCTCATCATCTAAAAGGAATTCCATACTGTCTTCTGAACTGACACTTTCAGGATAGCTAGGGAAAAACAGAGACAAAGGACATGTCTGATTGTTGACCTTGGTGCTTGGTGTCCACAGGTGAGCTTTCCTCTCTGAATTGCTTGTGAACCCTCACTCAGAAACCGTTCTTCTTCTCAATAGGAATGGGTGGAAAGACGATCAGATTTGATCCCAGATAAGGTTGACATACACAAATCAATGAGACCCCATGGACGGGCCATCTCATCTGAGTCCAATAATTGGAGCTGTAGCTATACAGTAATGCAACTCGTAGAAAAGACAAGAACATACTTTGTCATGCAGCAGTCTGCCGAGAAACCAAGCAGAACAAAGCCTGTGGCACCATCTGGTAAATATTCCCGTGTGGAACAGTACTTGTCTTTTTAAGAGAAAACTTTACATTAAAAAAAAAATCTTTCAAACAGAAAAAAACGAGGAAATGTTGATTGGGGGACTTGCAAAGCATCACTGTCTTCAAGAATAAGCCTGTGACTTGAGAAGCGGCCCTGAAAAAAATCCTTTAAGACAGCGAGTTGGAAACTGTTGGACTCTCACAGAGGCAAGGGCCCGGGGAGCGTAACGGTGGCTTTTGTGTTGTCTTGGTGGAGGCAGGCCCACGGTGGGACTACTCAACAGGGTGCAGCGGAGCTTCGAGACCAAGATAGACTGGGAAGGAAGACCTAGAGGTCTACTTCCGAAGATCAGCAGCAAAGACTCTCTGGATCACAACAGTCTGGCCCACAACCAACTCTGAGGCTGCCACGGACGACAGGGCACCATTTCTGTTGGCCACAGAGTCACCTTGAGCCAGAGCCACTAACCATCGCAAAGTTGTTGTCAATACACAGTGTCAAATCACAGACAGTGATCACAGGGGATGTGAATAAACAGGTTGGGAGAAATCTGGAGATAATTGATAGAACAAAATCATGGGGACCAAGAACAATCACTCAAATAACAAACAAACAAACACTAGCATCGAGTTGATTCTGACTCATGGTGACACTAGGGACAAGGTGGAGCGGTCTCTGTGGGTTCTGAGACTGTAACTCCTTCTGGGAGTAGAAAACCTCCTCTTTCCCCCAGGGATCAGCTGGTGGTTTTGAACTGCTCCACTTGAGGTTAGCAGCCCCAGGTTTAACCCAGCGCACCAAATCACTACAGGGGTCAAAAGAGAAGAGCTGAAAGACCAACTGTATGCCCCCACTATACGTTGGCTATAAGAAACTCACTTCCACGACAAGGCTGTAGATAGCCTGAAAATAAAAGGGCGAGAAAAGAGATACCACACAAACATCAATAGTTTTTAAGATGTAGGAGTGACTATATCACTACCACATTAGTAGATTTCAAAGCAGGCAGACTTACCAGTGATAGAGGCCAATGGAAAAGGGCCAATCTGCCTAGAAGACAAAGCTGTCACAAATGCGTTTGCACCGCACAGAGGATCAGGGAAACACGTGACGCACCACGGACAGAAGTAAAAGCAGCAGCAGACAAACCCACTATTACAGTGGGGCACTTCCCTGCCAGCGATCGACAAGACAACCAGACAGAAAAGCTACCCAAAGAAGGCAGTAGCACCATTAACCAGCAGGATCGCATCCGTCCTTATAAAACACTTCACTCAGCATACCTTCTTTTCAAGCACCCCTGGCCACTCAAGAAAACTCCAGAATTGAAGAGAAATGCATTCACACAGTGTGTCCTCTGGCCACAAAGGAATCGAACTCAAGAATCTGTAGTGAAACATTTAACTTGGCTTTTGATATTTGACTGCTGACTTAACTTTCAGTGTTCCTCTCCCCTTTCCTTTGGGCCCCTGTCTGGAAAGACGACAACTACTGTGAGTTCAGCTTCTCTGGCAGTGGTGGGCAATCTCCATCCTTTGCATGTGGGAACGTTTCTGCAGCCTCACCCGGAATCACTAGGAATGTCCTTTTGCTTTGCCTGAGCCAAGCTGGACCTGCTTGAATCTGCTGAGTCCTACCTGAGAGTCCCTTGCAAGAGTAATACATTTTCTTTTAAATTAATTCATCAGCCAAATTTTGTGTGGAGGTTCCCTTTCTCTCTTGCAGGAAAATCAATAATAACGAAGAGCAAAACTCTCCGAACTCTTGGAAACCAAACAACACATTTCTAAACAATGCAAGAGCAATACAAATTACACTGAACTTAATGAAGGTAAAAATCTACCAAATTTGTGGACAAGGCTAGAGGACAACTTAAAGCACGGCATTCTTACATTTAAAAGGGGAAAAACCAATGTTTTCTCAAAGAACCAATGTTTCCATCCCAGGAACCTAAGAAGAGGAGAGTAAAATAAACACAAAGCAGAGAAAACGAATGAAACAAGAAGCATGAAAATCAATGAAATTGAAAAGCGGAAACCAACAGACAATGAAGAACGCAAAGAGCTCGTTCTTTGAAGATGTTAATCCCGTAGAGGAAGCTCTAGCAAGAATGACCAAGGAAACAAGGAAGACAAACGACCTGTGTCAGACACAAAACAGGAGGTATCATGCCAGATATTGCACAAAAGAATAACAATTGCTAAGATAATTCTATGCACATGTATGTGACAACTTAGATGAAATTGACCAGTTCTCTTTTGACCTCAAGTTGGGGTAGATACTGTGGCGTTCAGTCAGCTCCCCTCTTGGGTCCTCTGATCAGGCTGGTGTGTCCCTTCCCCAGCTGCTGGGCATTTCAAGTGGCCTCTCAACTGTGCCTCTCACTGGGCGTTGCCTCAGTCTTAGGGTACTTCTGCTCTCAGGGGAAGTTCAAAGCCATTAACAGAGAACCCACTTGCTCCATTCTGGGAACACTCTCAAGAGTCGTCCAATCCCAGGGCTCCCTCCCTGTAGGACTGACTGGGAGGTCACAGCAGTACTGGATCTAGTCGAACTGAAAACCACACTAGGTACAGAAAGGCTAAAGGAGATATTTGCTAAGACTCAGTCACAGTTTTCGAGAGGCGATCGAGCATGTACTGTACTTTGTTAACGACGATTTCTTTTTCTCTTGAGGGAGCAGGGCCTTCCTGGAATGCTTTCCTGTTTAAAATGTCCCGGCGACGTTCCCGTTGTTGGTGATGGTGAAAAGAGAGAGCGCATTATTAAGAACGAGTCTTTGCCATCTGGTGCATGGTATTCATTTCTCTGCATGGACAATACTATACAAATTATTATTATTAGAATGATAATCATACAGAAAAGGAGCTATTTTTTTTTCCTACTGAAATTGGGCTCCAAACCTAAATCAAAACTCAAAGGCACACGAGTTGAGGTTGAGCGTACTGTCAGAAAGAGACCACAACTATCGAAAGGTCACAAACCAGGGACATCCATTGTGAGATGTGTCACGGTTGTTCTTTTTTTAACCTAATCATAGATACTCTTAATCACAACTGAAAAAAAAAAATCAAGGGTGAAAATAAAAGCGAGTCCTTTAATCACAACTGCTTGTGGGGAGACCTCTCATGGCTTGGCCTCCCACCCCACTCCCACGTTTCAGTCAAGGTCTGGGCCCCACCCTGGTCTGAAACAGAGCAGTAGATAAAATTCGTCTGAGCACCACCTCCTCAAACTCCCAGACAGCCCACAGGGCGTATCAGCGACAAAGGACTCCCAGCTGTGTTTGTCACTGCCCCCCCCTCCCTCCCCTGGGTAGGACCCAGACAGTGACTGATGACCCACTTGATTTACCTGGGGCTCACCTTCGAGGGCCTCCCCACCTTCTTGTTTGCTCGTGCCAACACTTTCAGGGCTCCCCACCACTCTGCACACATTTCTCTTTTGAAGGACCCTCAAGCCTCGCTTTCCCCACCCTCCACCTGACAAACTCCTACATATGCTTCAAAGTCCAGCTCAGAGGCGCGTGGCTTATACAGGCTTTCCTAAGGGTCTCCGGCCGAGATCGTCTTCGGCTCCTCCCCCCACAGCCCCAGTCTGGATCACTGTGGCACACTCCCGGGGTGGAGCGCTTGCCATCTCTGTGTCTGGAGAGTGCCTGGCACCTGGTAGATTTCCCAGCGCTCCAGTAAGAAACGTAGGCTAGGTGGAGCGCAATGGATCAACGAACCAGGTGGGCTCCACACCCATCTCCACCGGCCCTCTTAGCTTGTCAGTTGACCCCTGAGCACACGTGACTAACAGGATTGTCAGTGGGTTGTTGCAAGTGAGTAATTCCTAGACTTTATTATTCAAGATTTCAGCGCTGAGAACATTGGCGTCACTGCACCCTCCTCCTTTCCGCTCCCTCTGATACCTGGCCAGACCCTCTGAGAGCAGAGTCATATAGCTCAAGTAATGACCAGAGGGAGGGGCGGGGTGGAGGGAGAAGGGTGGTTCCACAGAAAGATGATGGTGGTGCTGAAGGAGATCTCCCACCTGATTGTGGGTATGTTCGAGTTATCTCACTTCTTGTGAGTCCCTGGCCAGTGGCAGTCACCTGGTGGCGACAGGCCTGGTTTGCTGGGCCCTGGGACTACATCTCTCTCAGTGCCAGAAATCAGGCCTGAACCTGGGGAGTGAGGAGGCCCAGCTTGTATTACCATGGACACTTTTGACTGAAGAAACATCCCCTGTCAGTGACATCTTTCTGGTCTCCTCCGGATTGCTTTCTCTTCTCCTTCCACTTGCTGCTTCTAGAACATAAAGCAGAAAGAGAAGGGGGGAAAAAATAAAACACTTCTGAAAACGAGAGCTTTGTCTCAGGTAGAAGGTAAAGGTACTGTGAACACTTCTGTCAACAGAAAGATACGATGGAGCCGCCATGCAGATGGAAGGGGTTGGTCTCAGAAGTTGGCAGAGATGGTGGTAGTAACTAACCTGCTTTGCTGAGCCTTGGGAATGCTTCAAGAGCCCTAGTCACATAGTGGTTATCCATTGGGCTACTCACTGCAAGGCCAGCAGTTCAAAACCACTAGCTAAATCCTCAAGAGCAAGATAGGGCTTTCTACTCTCATAAAGAGGGACAATCTTGGAAACTCATAGGGGTAGTCCTACCCTGTGTTCTAGGGCCTCCGAGAGTTCCATTGACGTAGTGGTTTTGGGTGGCATTGGGAATAAGTCTGTCAGCACCAGGACTGTGAAGCCAGGGAGTGAAGTGGTCCCGCGAGGAAGAGTCTGGAAGCGTGTTAGTTACAGAGGTGGCTCATGGCTGGCCCTCTTCGCCTGACTTCTCTCAGCCTATTAACGCATGTCACCTCTCCACTCGGAATCCTCATCTCTCAGGATTAAAGGCCAAATGGACATTGCCCTGTACGGACTTTCCATAGAGGCTTCTGGACCCCCCAACTCCACTTTGAAACAGGCACCTTCTCTGGTTTTCCTTTTGTGAACAAAGTCCCCCATCTCTGATTTCATCGTGGATATCTTTTTCTGGAGAAGAGTTTTCTGAAAAGGATTTTCTGGACTCCACATGGCTGTCTATTTTCTTTTCGCTTACTAATGGTTCTGGAGAGGGACCAGAAAAGGAGAGAGGGGGGTGGTGACCACATCTGAGGTAGAGTGCTTTGTCTCAGGTAGCAGGTGGTGTTATTGGGAAAAACGTGCATCAACATAACCATTTTATTGTTAGCTGTCACTAGCTGTCACTAGCAAGGGTGCTATGCAGATAAAAGGGGCTGGTCTCTGGGGTAGGCAGAGTGGCGAGGACTGGCCTGGTGGCACCAAGAGATCCCCTTTTCAATGCCAGTCTTTCATGACTCCTGAAATCCTGTTTCCATAACTCCTCAGAAATGAGGTGTATCGGTTTCTGAGAATCCTCTATTTAAGTGACAGATTGTCCTTGTCATTGGTGGCCGCCCCATTGATTGCACGTGTGCAGAGTGGACCTGCTCCACGGAGTCTTCCAGACTTGACCTTTTGGAAGCAGGTCACCAGATCTGCCTTCTGAGGTACTTCTGGTGGGTTTGAAGCACCAACCTTGAAGCCAGTAGTCATGTGTCCCTGGAGGACCAAAGCTTCAGCTATGAAACACAAACAGTCTGCCATGTGACCTGCCTTTTGTGAACCCAACTTTCATCACATGTGATCTCTGTGTTCAATACTTGACACGCACTGTCTCCTGCCATGACCCTCAACACGTGGAAACTAAGCAGGGCAGCCCATCGGTGCTGTACGGGTAAAAGTTGGGGTCACTAGGTGCTGTCAAGCTGGTTCTGACTTATAGCGACCCGATGTACAGAAGAAACACTGTCTGGATCCGTGCCACCCTGACTGTTGTTCCCATGTTTGAGCCCATTGTTGCAGTCATGACATGAGTCCAACTCTTCCACGGCCTTCCTCTTTGTCGCTGCACCTCCACTTTGCCAAGCATGTCGTCCTTCTCCAGGGGTTGGTCGCTCCTGACAACATGTCCACGGTACATGCTGGTAAATGCTGGAGAAACATGTTTTTCCAATTTCTGTGTTGCACTGGTACTCGTACCCTAGAGTATGGCCAGATCCATTCTTAGCCAAAGACCAATCATCTCCGTACCTCTCTCTTCCTCCCTCTCTCTCTCTCTCTGCTTCCTTCTCCTCTCTGATGTCTGCTGTAGAAACTCTCACAGCCTCCACATTGGTCTCCCGAGGCTCTGAACTCCTCAACTCAGGGAGCCACTAGACTCCTTTGGCTACCATCCCCCTACACACACACACACACTGCCCTGTGCTATATCCCACAAACTCTCTCCAGTCACACACACACACACACACACACACACACACTGCCCTGTGCTGTATCCCACAAACTCTCTTCAGTTTGTTTCTCCTCTCTCAGGGACCACTGTCCTTCATAGTCTGCTATCCACTCTCTGCAAACCCTGCCTTCGTGTAGTTCTCTCTTTTTTCAGCTTTTTAAAGAAAGAGAGTGGGCCCTGGTCCCACTGTGGCTGGAAGTTGATGTCTTCTCTGCTGACATGTGTTCCCGCTGTCACCCTTTATTAAATACAACAGAATAATTTACTGACAGATGCAAGGTCTGATTACCCAACAAGCTGGGTAAACCTGGGGGCGCCATCCCTTTCAGGGATTTTCAATGTAAAAAGAGGCTTCGATTCTGTAGAAATGTGCTGTGCAGTTGGCAGATAGATAGATGCCAGTCATACCCAGTAGCCGAATCTTTGGTGCGGTGACAAGATGTGGGAGTGTTCACTACAGATCCGTAAGTAAGCCCACGCCCGCCTGTGCTGACCTTGCTTCCGGGTATCTGGCCAGCGGCATCACTCCAATTGGTTGGACCCAATGCCGTAACTCGCTGTGCTGTTACCTTCCTCCCACACCAAACCATAGAGAATCCGTAGTAATATTTATTATCAACCTTGTCATAAAATAATATGTGATGGTGTAGTTGTAATTTGTTGTTCCATATTTCTCAGATCATATGAATATTAACAACAGAATTGCTTTATAAAATCTTTTTACATTGAGTTGCAACTTTGTTACATTATTAGTAACTGAGGGGAAAAAAGCCATCTTTCCATGTTCTTTCTTTTCCTTTACAATTTCATTCATAAAAAGCGATTGTGATGCAGGCTCACAAATACTAGTGAGGACAGTGTTGCTGTGGTCGATAGGGGCGGTTCGGTGACTTTGAACCCACAGCAGCCTTCTCCATGTGCGTCAGAAGAAAGCACGGGTCCTGCATCAGCTCACTACTGTGATGTTCGAGCCCCTTGTAGCAGAACGATGCGAATGCAGCTCATGGAGGGTCTTCCTGCTCTTCGCTGCCCCTCTACTTACCAAGCAGTGTGTCGTTTTCCAGCGTCTCGTTTCTCCTGATAACACGTCTAAGGAATGTGACAGAAGGTCTCATCATCCTCATTTTAAAGAAGTTTCCCGACTGCACTTCTTTCAAGGTCGATTTGTTTGTTGTTTTGTCAGCCCGTCGCATTTTCAATCTTTCTCAACAACACCTAATTCCAACAGAGCACCTCTTCTGTGGTTTTCATGATTCCTTGTCCAGCTTTCACGTACCGTATGTACTTGAGTATCAGCGGACCCCAATATCTGCCGAGGCACCTCATTTTACCACAAAACCTGCATTAAAAAAGTGCTGAAAAACTCGGCTTATACATGAGTATATAGGAACATAGGAGGGACTGAAAATGTCATTCGCTTGGGTTTTTTGCAATTCAAAGTGACACTCCTTTACGGAGTCATGTGCAGATTTGTCTAATGCACTGTCATTAGATTTCTTGACTGCTGCTTCTGTGATTGTTGATCCAAGTAAAATGAAATCCTTGACAACATCAATCCTTTCTCCCTTATTGTGATACTGGCCCCATTGTGAGGATTTCAGTTTTCTTTACATTGAGTTAGGAGCCTTGGTTGTATAGTGGTTACACATTGAGCTGCAACCCCAAAGGTCCACAGTTCTAACCCATCAGCAGCTCCCAAGGACAAAGACGGGGCTTTCTACTCCGGTAAACAGTTATAGTCTTGGAAACTCACCGGGACAGTTCAATGCTGTCTTATAGGGTCACTGTGAGTCAGCATCAACTGAATGGCAGTGACGTTGGTTTGCCTTGAGTGGTAAGCCATTCCGAAGGCTGTAATCTTGGACCGTCATCAGTAAATATTTCAAGCCCTCTTTGCTTTCAGGAAGCAAGGGTGTGTTATCTGCAAACCGCAGGTCGATAACAGGACTTCCTCTAATCCTGATGCTACATTCTTCTTCACCCAGTCTAGCTTCTCAGATTGTTTGCTCAGCATACAGACTAAATAAGTATGGGGAGGGGACACAACTGTGTCGCATCCCTTTTTGATTTTAAACCACGCAGCACTCCTGTGTTCTGTTCCAATCACGGAGGGCACAGGCTCCACAGGAGCACGAGGAAGCGTTCTGGGATCCCCATCCTTCTCAGTGTTATCTGTAGTGTTTCAGGATCCACACAGTGGAGCCGTTTTGCAGAGTTCAATAAAACGCACATGGACATCTTTGAGGTAGATTCTCTACTTTCAGCCAAGACCCAATGCAATCTCTCGTTCCCCGTCCTCTTCCGAATTGAGCAGTGTGATTTCAAGTATCATTGCAACTGGGCAATAACAACAGCTCTGACAGAAACACTTCGAAGGTTCAAAGAACACCTTAACACAGAGGTTTAGCCTGGTAGGTACAGGCATAGACACAAACTGGGCTTGCAGAATATTTTTTGCTGTTAAGTTTTTGAAAAGAACAATCCAATTTTACTGAAATACGGTGCTACAGTTTTAAAGGCAGTCACTGTTTTGCCACTTTCTTGGACAGTGTCACCTCATGCCGTCAGCAACTCCCACACCTTAGTGATGTCACCGAATCGGGCACGGATCGCGTTGACTTTCTACTGCCCACACCTTCCGACTGTATTGGCTCCTGAGATGCGGTGACGGTAATTGAAGTCTCTTTCAAAGCCTCAGTGACCCGTCGTTACTTCCTGTCTTCCAGAGTCTGTCCATCTTCCTGCATGAAGTCCAGAGTCGTCGTATGAAGTTCTCCTCTCTCCCCAGCAAGTTTCTAGTGACACCTTGATGATCATTTCATGAAATGTGTACATTGATTTCAGAAGAACAGGCAGCTTTCTAACACCAATCTTCCTATAGAAAAAATGGAGCCTTCTTCAATTTAACCAATGCTTATAGGAATAGTGCTTATTGTTGCTCTCTTGGTTTGAACTTCCTTGTCTAATATTTTCAAATTGATCAAGAAAGTAGAAGTGATTTTGTGGTACCTCATAGCACCAGTTTATAAAATCACATATCTTCCTAGTTGTTGGGTTTTTGTTTTTATTTTTAAGGGAGGACTCTAGAAATACTATCATATCGTTTACAAATAATGAATTGTTTTCTCTTTTCATGTATTCTATTGTTTTATATCTAGAATTAACCTAAATTTCTAAATTAATAGCATATAACAGTTAAGGTCCCTCTGGTTCAACTTAAAATGTAAATGGCAATTACTGAAACAAACAGCCAACAAGCACTGAGGCAGAATATTGTAGAATGAGAAATATTAACCTAACTGCAACAAAAAATGTGTACTTACTTGTTAATAACTTTGGCAGGATATTACTCATGCTGTCCCTACTTTTTGATTCCTTTATCCTTTTTAGTGCTTGCTGGGCTTGCCATTGCTTTGGGGACAGTTTCAGCAGGAAAAGTCCATATTTCATATATTCCTTCAGGAGGAATTCTGTTTTTGCTATTTCACTACTCAAAAGAAACAAAGGTAAGAAAGCATCTTCATTTTAAAAAAAAGACGTTATGAATTGCATTTCTTCTGATTATTTGAATATTAATTTACTTATCAAATATTACAATTATGGCCATAAAATGTGAACTTCACTAAGATACGGGGTGAGAAGAGAAACATGAATAGTAATGCCATTTGAATCAGACATGCCCAAATGTATACACAGATAGAATGGACACATAGAATAGTTTTACTATATTTATTACTGTGGGAAATATTGTGTTCATTTTAGACAAACTCTAGGTACACATCATCATAAAACTTTACCTTGTCCTCGTGAGCTGCCCTTTGAAGTCTTATACTCACCACTTCTATATTGTCATTTCTTCTATTTGCTTTCATATTGTCATTTCTTCCATTTGCTTCAGCTACTCTGCTGCTGCCAAGCAGGTTTCAGAAGGCTGTCTGACATCCATTTTGGTCTTTTCCTTCTTTCTGATCGTCTTAATGGATCTTCCTTTCGTTTTCCCTCTTCTTCTTCTTCTTTTCCATCATTTTATTAGGGGCTCATACAACTCTTATCATAATCCATACACACATCAATTGTGTCAAGCGCATTTGTACAGTCATTGCCCTCATCATTCTCAAAACATTTCCTCTCCACTTAAGCCCCCGGCATTAGGTCCTCATTTTTCCCCTCCACTCCCCCCTCCCTCATAAGCCCTTGATAGTTTAGAAATTGTTATTTTGTCATATCTTGCCCTGTCCGATGTCTCCCTTCACCCACTTTTCTGTCCTTTCACGATTCTGATTTTCAGACCTTCTGTCGAGAATGTTAAAATCTATTCTTGTGATGAGCTCCACATCCAGGCAGGATGTATTTAAATTTGAACGTTGGCTTTTGAGGCCTGGCTTGGAATGTCCTCAGCTTTGCCTTGCCTGTGAGCAATTGAGAGTCTGTTCTGAAATCAGGCAGTGAGTTTTGTCTTGACTGACGATAATGAGCTCTTCTCAAAGAGTTGTTTTGTGTGTGTGTGTGTGGACTTCAACTTGTCCTTGTGTACAACAGAACACAACTCTGCCTAGTCCTGCTCCACTTTCAACAGCATGGTTATGTTTGAGCTCATTCCTACAGCCACAGTAGGACTCTGTCCTGTTGACGCTCTTTCTCCTTTACGCTGACTCTTTACCAAGTCGACAGGTCCTTCCTATAAGTCCAAAGTATGTGAGATGAAGTCTCGCCATCCTTATTCCTAAGGGACATTCTGTCTGTACTTCTTACAAGACAGATTGTTCTTTTTTTTTGTTGTTATTTAATATTCTTCAAAAACACCATAATTCAAAAGCATGAGTTCTTCAGTCTTCCTTATTCATTGTCCCCTTTTGCATTGAAAATATCCCAGCTTGGGCTAGGCTCACATTGCTTCTCAAAGTGATATCTTTGCTTAGTCTCCAGTGTGACAGTTTTGCTTTTTAACATTTTCAATAGGTCTTTCACAGCAGATTTGCCCAATAAAATGCTTTCTTGGCATTGATTGCATATCCAAGTAACATCAAATCCTAGGTCATTTCAGTATGCCATCTGTCTTGCAGAATTCTATTCTGTCACCTCTAGTGTCATTTCCATTACCAAGACCATGTTTTCCACATATTGCTCTGGTGTCTTCATTTCCCCTTTTGCATATCAATCACCAATAATGAGCAATGCATCTTGATTGCACATTTGAAGAATTGCAGACTGCATCAGTTCATAAAAATCTTTTAATTGATTTATTTTTGGCATTTGTGATTGGTGTGTACATTGGAATACTAGTCATACTAATGGATCTTAGTTGTAGGACCATGCATGACTGTGCAGGACAGTGGTGTTTTTGTTAGATGGTATCAAGTCCGTTTCAACCCATAGCAACCACATGGACCACAGAATGAACACTACCCAGTCCTGTGCCAGCCTCACAATTGTTCTTCTGTTTGAGCTCATGGTTGCAGCCACTGTGCCAATCCATCTTGTTGAGAACCTTCCTCTTTTCACTGCCCCCTTATTTTACCAAACATGATGTATTTTTCTAGGGACTGGTCTCTCCTGATAACATCTCCAAAGGCCATGAGCTTAAGTCTTGCCATCCTTGGCTTTAGAGTGCACGCTAGCTGTGATTCTTCCAAGACAGATTTGATTGTTCTTTTGGCAGCCCATGGTACTTCCAATATTCTTTGCCAGCACCATAAATCAAGTGCACTAATTCTTCTCTGATCTTTCTTATTCAATGTCCAATTCTAACCCGCACGAGAGGCTATTGGAAATACCCTGGCTTGGGTCAGGTCATAGATGTAGGTGTATGGCTATTACTCTATCCCTGACAACGATGAAATTCACGATAGATCTTGAAATATTCTTGTTGGCGCCGAGTGCAATGCTGTTTTCCTGCAGTTTGCCATTCCCAGCAGAGTAGTCTAATTCCAGTTAAGTCTGTCTCAGCCCACTAACACCTAGAATACTGGCCTTCTATCTTCCCATTTTGTTTTTTTGACAAATTTCAATTTTCCTTGTTTCACATTTTGTACATTCCACATTCCAATGACAGGTGGATATGTGCTGTTATGAATTCCCATCTGGAGAAATAAATGGATGCCATCGTTGGTGCTCTTGGGTGGATTCCAATTCATAATGATCCTACATGACAGAGTAGAACTGTCCGCTAGGGGGTTCTTGGCTGTAATCTGCTCACAAGCAAATTGCCCAACCTTTTTACCTTGGAGTAGCTAGGGGGGTTTGAACTACCAACGTTTTGGTTATTTTTCTAATTGCATTAGGGACTTGAAATAAGAAGGGGCTGCTGTAGCAAGTGTGTTTAAAATAGGCATTTTGTTCAAAGTCATTAGTTTTGAGGAAACCACATTCCAGTTTGTTTTCCTTTTGCTCTCCTCCCCCCAAAATGCAGATGTGAGACATGTAGGTCTTGACTTTAGAGAAGAGGTAACCAGCAAGTTCTCAAAAAGAAGCAGCAAATCTTATCATGACCTGATACCAAGATGTATTGTCTCTTGGATCATGATATTACAGTCCAAGAATGATGACTGTCAGAACCTCTCTTGAGGTTTCAAATTAGTTGAAGTGAGCTCTACTTGACCATAGAATGAAACAGCCCACCCTTGGAGAAAGAAAAGAAGAGGACATAAGTTCATCCTAACTCTTGCTCCTGTAATTATTTGAGATAATTAAAGTTTGTTGTGCCACCCTGGCCGATAAACACATGTGGGGTTAATTGAAGGGCAGAGAGATAAATGGCTCAGTGAGCCTCGCCTTCCTAGTTCTCGGGTCTCTTGCTTTGTGATGGTCGGACCAGGGTGCAGCTGCCTTAGCCAGTTCCCTGCTTCAGCTGGCAAGGCTCACTTCCCGCAGGACATCCCCAAGGATAAGCCACATGGACCTACCCCGATGCAGCCTTGGGTGCTGGAGCAGCTGTGTGGAGACCCCTGACAGCGATGAGATACTTGCATATTCACTGACTCAGCTTTCCTCCTGTAGTCGGCATCATTGCGTGTGTTTTGTGAGATGGAGGAGGCCTTTGTGGATTGGTGTTGGACATATGAGTTAATGTTGGACTTGTGGGCTTGGGCAGCACTGGGTTGGGATGCTTTCTTGATGTGCACTTTATATAAAGCTCTTTCTTATACATCTGAGTTTCTGTGGATTTTTCCTCTAATGTGCCCAGACTCACACATTATTGTTGCTATACTCCCCTGCTTCTAAGGTCATTGTTCTTCCTGTCCTCGAGTCAATTCTGAGTCCTAGTGACCCTATGGAGCAGAGTAGAACTGCCCCGGAAAGTCTGCCCCTGTAAGAGTGTAAATCTTTACAGCAGTAGAAAGCTTCATCTTTCTCCCACATATCATTGCCAGGTTCAACTCCATCATAAGCTGTCAATAGAAACAGTGCTGCCAATTATAAGTACACAACTGCATTGACAGTAAAATGAATTCTAATTTTAGTTAAAATGTGTGGAAGGGAAGTATCTCAGAATGAATAAAAAGGGTGCCTGTAGGAGATCATTTGCTGTTTAGCCCTAATGTTGACTTGCATCTTTTCAACTTATCCCTTTGCTTTGAGAGCTACGAGTTAAGAGACTATGTTCTGAAATCACTCAGTAAAGACCCAGTGGCCAGCCACAGGCCACTGAGCCTTCCTGGTGCCCTGGCAGGTTACTTGCTTTCAGCATTTGACCATAGCTACGAGACCATCAATTTGTAGCTGTCAGGTGACGTCATTGAGACTCCGTGGACAAGAGAATGAAACACCGCCTGGTAGTGCGCCATGATAACAATTGTTCTTAATGTTTGAGTCCATTGCTGCAGTCCCCGGGTCCATCCATTTTGTTCAGGGTCTCTCTCCCGCTCACTGTCCCTCTGCTTTACCAAGCGTGATGTCATTTTTCCAGCGCCTGGTCTCCGGGCCCATCAATTAAGAAGGATGACGCCAAGCTAGGTATCACTAGGTACCAACCGGTCTCACCGGGCCACCGGAGCACACTGACAAAGTGGAAGCTTTCCTGGGCACCTTACCTTTTCACGGCCTGCACTTCCATGCTGGCTTTCTTCAACTCTGCTGTGGTCTGGAGTTTGTTCAGCGTTTCTTGCGCAGCACTGAGATGTCACAGAGATTCGGTAAACATTTTACATTGTGTTCAGAAAAACAAACAAGCAAGAAAAGGAGCAAATAAGAGGGACTGGGGGCAGCGTGAAGAAACAAACGAACATTTTAAGAGCATCCACAGACTTCTGGTCGTTTTCCCGAAGGAACTCCTCGAAAGCCAGCGCATCCTCCTGGAGCTTTCTCTCCGCTTTCACCAGTTGCTTTTCCTTCTGTGCGATGCTGTCTTCATACTTTTTAATGGTTTTCCTCTTGGTAGACAGCGTAAACTGGGAATATGGGAAACCGCAGCTTGTCAAGAACACGAGTCCATGTGTTTAGAACATTCCTAAGCTATTTCAACATTCTCATGAGAAAAAGAGCAAAAGAAACCTGGGTGGGCATCACTTGCATTAGAAAAGCAGTATGTCCAAATCTTTAAGCCGTGGCCTTTAGATCATGTAGGGATTTGATGTGGGAGATAGTTAAAAGGGAGCCTAATTCTTCTCTCCTGCCTTTATGAAGGAATTCAATCTTGGTCCAAAACTAAGGTGACCAGATTTTAACATTGGTAAAGCGCGACACCATTGATAAAACTCATATCCTAACGAAATAGCCACATGGCAGCTGAACACCGTACACCCTAGCTTGTCGTGCATTCTTTCAAAAAATCGGGACTTTTTTAAAACACCGTGGGATGCGGGAATAATTGTTAAAAATTGGGACTGTTGATGTGTGTATGGATTGTGATAAGAGTTGTATGAGCCCCTAATGAAATGATAAAAAAAAAAAATCGAGACTGTCACTGGTCACCTTATCCAAAACGGCTCTGCTCCACGAACCAAAAGTGGCTCAGATCCTCCCCAAGGGCAGTCCCATCTGTTATTCCCCACAGACTGACTCCATGGGGAAAGGCCATGGGCTTCTCCTCCAAGAAGCTGGACCCTGGAAGTCAGCAGCTCCAAGGCCGCAGTGTCAAAGACTCCATTCTCAGCAACAGGCCTCTCGAGGTGCCCAATACAGCTTTGACACCTAGCTTCCATTTCTGTTGTTACAGAATACAAAACAAACACTTGGTTTTGTGCATGAAATGAAGTAATAAACAGCCACATGCTGTAACTTAAATGAGTTTTAAATATGTAAAGAAGATAATTCGGAGGTGAAATAATGAGATCCCTCGCCAAATCCTCTAAGAGGAAAAGAATCCAATCATTCCTTTCTTCACCAAGTGCTGGTGCTCATTGAGGGCC